GAGAGAGAGAGAGAGAGAGAGAGAGAGAGAGAGAGAGAGAGAGAGAGATCTATGGAGACCCAATTCCAGCCTAATCCCTGGCCTGATCCATTACAATACTCTGGCAAAGCAGGTACACCCATCTCCATGCAAAAGCACCAGTTCTGGCTCTGAGGCTGTCTTCAAGCTATGTAGCCTTTGCTTGAGGAATGAGGACGCTCTATTGCTAGGAGACAGCAGACCAATAACTACAATGACAATGAGTTCTGGCATTGTCAGGAAATTATGTAGCCCAGGTTTGCCTCAAGCTTGCGTTATGAGATTAGTCAGGACTAATTGCTGTGCTCGAGGCTCTAGGAAAAGGTTGGACAGTTGTGGTACAAGCCTTTAAGCCCAGCACTCAGGAGGCAAAGGCAGGTGAATCTATGAGTTCCAGGCCAGCCTGGTCTACAGAGTTCCAGGACAGCCAGGTCTACACAGAGAAACCCTGTCTCAGTGAAAAAAAAATCTGAGAAATTTTTATTCTGACATGGTGGTACACACACAATTTGAGGTTTAGGCAGGAAGATCATGAATTCCAGGCCAGCCTGGGCTTCAAAGTGAGACTCTGTCTCAACAAATAAAAAATTGTGCTTAACATATCTGAAAAATGTATCAGAGAACTTCACTATAGGTCAATAGAAATAGCACAACTAATCCAGGAATGTAGGTGCATGCCTTCCATCCCAGCACTGGGAAGGTGGAACAAGAAGGATTAGGAGTTCAGAGCTTTTCTCAACCACAGAGAAAGTTTGAGGCTAGCCTGGTCTACATACGTTTTAATTAAAAAAAAACTTAAAAAATTAATTTCAGATGGACAGCTGTCACTGACCATGCCACAAGTTGTGTGGTGGGCTAGCTCACTGCAAACCATGTGTGAATTTTGTATATTTGTAATTTGATTACACTTTCAGGCAGGGATGAAGACGTTACTTTGCTGACTTTGTGTAACTCCAGCAAGCCATATTCTCTCTCTCTCTCTCTCTCTCTCTCTATATATATATATATATATATATATATATATATACACACACACACACACACACACACACACACACACACATATATAGAGGGCTGGATGTCAACTGTCCTTAGAAATCCCCACACAAAGAAGTCACAGGCTCCTGGCTCCTGAGGAAAATTTGAGATGGGGGATGACTGGTGTCGAAGATATTTTAAATTTGATATCTACTGGACACATTTCCAAATGGAGAAGAGAACATCCAGTTCTGGTTTAGTTTCTGTTACAGCGATAAAACAGGGAGCAAAGCCATTTTAGGTAAGAAGAGGTTTATTTGGATTATACCTGCCAATCACAGTCAATCTCTGAGGGAAGCCAGAGCAGGAACTGAAGCCAGAACTGTGGGAGAACACCGCCTACAGGCTTGCTGTCCATGGCTTGCTGGGCATTTGTTTGTTTATTGAGACAGAGCTCTGGCTGTCCTGGAATTCACTATGTAAACCAGTCTGGACTCAGAGTCACAGATCCCCTGTCCTCTGTCTCCCAACTGCTAGGGTCAAAAGTCAGGCCTGGCTGTTCAGCTCGCTGTTTTTACACAGCTAGGGACCATTTGCCCAGGGGTGGCACCATTTACAGTGAGCTGGGCTCCTCCCACGGCAGCCACTAATAATGAAAACGCTTCATAAACTTGCAGACAGCCCAGTCCCATGGAGGCATCGTCTCAGCTGAGGCTCTCTCTTCCCTAAAAGTTGACAAATCGCATTGCAACTCCAGCCCAAGGGGACCTGGCATCCACTCGTGGCCTCCCAGAGCACACACACACACACACACACACACACACACTGAATCTGTTTAAGAAGAATTGAATGAGTGTATAGATATGGAATAAATACAGTTTATGCTCTTGTCTCTGACACAGTATTCTAGACTTTGCTTGATGACCTGAGCTACAAGATAGAGCAGATTCTGAGACTCTATTTCCTGCAACCATCTGACCTGACCTGCGGGTCCTAGTTATTCGTGGGGGCGAGGAGGACCACAACCTGAAAAAGAACGGGCGAGAGAGAAGAACGGACTCAAGGAAGCAATTGCTTGTCAAGAGCCGTGTATTTGAACGTGAAACCCCTTTTTATAGTATGCTTTACAAGGGGAGGGGGGTAAGAGGGGCCAGGTGGTAGAAAAGTACAGAATCTTCATGGCCTGTGCCCTGAAACATTTCATGGTCTATACGGTACACTGCCTTGAATTATGATCTACCTGCTTTCCTCAGAAGATACAGTACACTGCCTTGAATCTATCTGCAGCTGCCAAGCAGAATCTTGTGGTCACCAAGCTGCAGGGGACATTGTGCAGTTGGGGAAATGTAGGGGGTGAGGGTAAGGGCGAGGGTCCTGGCTTCTGGCAACCATCTGTGGTAAATGGTCATGTTTTTGTTAGGCTTTAGGGAGAGAGATGGAATGAGAGAGAAGCAATGGGTTGAACTGTCCTCATTCAAGACAAGAGGCTGACACATGGCTGCAGCATGGTGGGGTCTAAAGTGGATTGTCAGCCATGCTAAGACAAAGTAAGCTGTCTTCCTATAGCATGTAGTTTATTTTATGTATGTATTTATTTATTAAGTTGTGTGTACATGCCTTATTTTGTGTGTGTGTGTGTGTGTGTGTGTGTGTGTGTGTGTGCTGCAGCACCTGTGGTAGAGGCAAATGTCCACTAGAGGGAGTCAGTTCTCTTCTTCTACTGTGTGTGTTTCAAGGATTGAACTCAGGTCCCCAGACCTGTACCTGCCAAGACATTTGCTGGCCACAGGTAGGGTCTCTTGTTTCTGCGACTCTAAGAGTCCTCCACCTTTGGGTTTCAGTCTTGCTTTGGTCCAGTATTTCCTCAGTATACTGCCTTCCCTACAATTCAAAATTATAAAGTATATTTTGTCCCATGACACATTGGATTATGTGATCTGCTTTTTGATTTTGACTTTATAGGGGACTACAATGAAGAGATTGTCATGAATATCAGAAAAGATTTTGAAATTTAGATTTTTTAAACAGTGTTGAGATTGTGATAGACGGTGGGGACTTTTAAAGTTGGGCCGAATGCATTTTGCATTTTGATATGGGCAAAGGCCTGTGGGGACAGGTAGTGGAGTGTCTTGGTTCAATAACAGCGGCCCCCATATGTTCATGTGTTTGAATGATTGGAAACTGCAGGCAGCTATGCTTTCTGCCATGATGTTACTTGACTAAGCCTCTGAAACAAGCCTTGGTCATGGTATCTATTCGTAGCAGTAGAACAGTGACCCAGACACCCCGTGGTCTGCCATCACTCCATCACTGCCGTCACAGGATTCTAGCAGAGACTCGGACTCTGCGGCTGAATCAGGCTCCTATAGCTGAGCAGTTTTAGCTTTTATCATGCAATATAAAATGGAGCTTCAATGTTCTTAAAAAGGATCCACAGCCGGGCATAGTGGTGCATACCTCTTATCCCAGCACCCAGGAGACAGAGGAAGAGGGATATCTGAGTTTGAGGGCAGCCTTACTTACAGAGTTCCAGGACAGCCCGGGCTACGCAGAGAAAACTGTCTCGGAAAAAAACCAAAACAACAACAAAAACAACAGAAATAAAAATGTATCCATAGCTGTCTTACATGACATTTCAAAAATGAAGAAACCGAAAAGCAACCCAGGGGAGTGAGCTCCCCAAAATCGATTTCCAAAGATCCCGGGCCAGTGAAAACAGCTCAGAACACACTGAGGCTTTAGTATTCTGGGGAATGTAGTCCCGGAAAAGCACAGAACTAGGCGCTTCCGCTGATGCATTCTGGGAATTGCAGTTCCGGCGGCAGCGGCGGCTGCGGTGACTTCCGCTCCCGCAAGGCAAGGCTGCTTCTGGTGAGGTGAAAGCCTGCAGCGTTCTGCGACCCTCTGTGCGCTGGTGTCTCGGTGTGTCCTCTCAGGGACCCAGTGTGCATTCCTGGGAGAAGCGGGGCAGCGGTGCCGGCGGCCGGTCCTCTCTAGCTGGGCTCTGCCTGAGGTCGCGCTGCCCGGGACTCCTGGACCCATCTCAGCTGCTGTGGAGCCCCGGGGAGAGTCTAGCTTCCCACGGGAGCTGGCGGAGGAGCGGTGATGACAGATGGCCAGTGTCCTGAATCCTTAAGTGGTATGCAACTCTGGCTCTTATGCGATTTTTTTTTTTGCGTTTATTTATTTGGTTATTTACTTAAAGAGTGGGGCGTGCCACACTTTATAAAAGGAATAGGTCAGAAAACTACTTGTGGGAGTAGGATCACTCCTTCCTCCACGTGGGGTTCAGAGACTTGAACTCAGGTGGTCAGCCTCAGCGGCAGTCACCCATACCCTTTGAGCCATATCGCAGTGCCCAACTCCCCTTTCCCTAGAGAGGATTTAGCTTTTTATTGGTGATTATCTTCATGTACGAGGGAAGAGAGACTCTGTGGAGGCTCTTGAAGAGTAGCAACGTTTACTAGAATTTAAAATTTTTTAGAGCGAGAGAAATTTAGGGGTGGAGATTTCAAAAAACTCCCGGGTATGGAAATCATTATATGTAAGATAGCTGTCACATTAACCGACCTTTAGAAGACTGGCGGTCAGTTATGACACAGCGTGTATCAGAGAGTTCGGCGCTTCTTAAATATTTGTTTTTCTGGGAAACCCATCACCACAGGCAGCATTGTGAGGGTAGGAGCGCACTGCATCCCTGGAGCTGCCGGAAATAGAGAACCCCTTGCTGTGAGTGAGGTGAGGCATGGGTGGCCTTGTAACCTGGAGGCTCACACCACCGATTAGCAGGAAGTAGGGAGAAAAGCCTGGTCAGCGCCCACAGCCCTTGGCGCTGATGGAGAAGCTGAGGAAGCCTTGTGGCCCGACTGTCCTAACAATGTTCTCACGAAGCCCTTCCTCCCCCAGCTTGCTTCCCAGAGCCCTGCCTTGTCTCAAAGAGAAGAGAACAATGACCAAGTTACAGGTAAGTCGGCTTGCTTCCCCCATTCCCCACAGAGCTAGGGACTGGAAACATGGCCCCTGCACGCTGGGCAAGCCCTTGCTCTGCAGCCGAGCCTCTCTGAACTGCGTGGAGTAAGAGGGGAAGTTGCTGAGAAGAAAGGTCTGGAAGGAGGAGGGATAAGAGAGGACAGTGGGGACACGTGCTCAAAGTGCACTGCATACGGGAAAGTGTAAAAGGATGAATAAAATATATTGAATTAAAGAAAGTGGGCTGGAGAGGTGGCTCAGTAGTTAAGGACACTAGCTCATTTTGTTCCCAGCACCCATACCTGATACTTACAGCTGCCTGTAACTCCAATGACATGTAGTTGGAGAATGTCCAGCACTCTCCTCTGGCCTCCCAGGGCATCTGCGCACACACACACACACACACATAAACACGTGTCACACCCCCCTCGCCAGCAAGGATGACGCAACAACAGGATCCTTCTTCACGCACTTTATTGGGGAACATACCATTGATTGCAAAGTGAAAGACCCCAAGCCCGAAATGGGTGCTGCTTCAATAGTTATCACAACTGTGTATAAGTGTCTAATTGGTGCTTCTTGCAGAACTTCATTTACATACTGCTCGGGAGGGTGAGGAGCTGCATCTGAAAGATACGCAGGCTCACAGCAGGTGTTTACGACTCTGAATGCAGTTGTTTTCCACCTCAAACATCGGTGACAAGCGCCATCTTCTAATGGCGGCTCCTTACATCTCCCCCCTATTTTATTTTTTAAGAGCAGGCACTGGCCAATGTCCCTGTCTTAGGCTAGTTGATGTGCCTCCACAGCCAGCACCAATGAATGGTGAGTTCCCTTTTTTAGGCAATGAGGGTTGCACCCACACCTGGCATTCTTGCTGGCCAGAATGTGCACCCAGGTTATGGCCACTCGTAATGCCTGTCATGGGGTAGACTCACAACTAGTGATGTGGCATCAACCTATTCCCGTCGTTGGGACCAATGACCATTATTGGCCTGAGCAACAGGACAAAACTCTCATAAGAAGGGGTGAGTTCCCTGTCTTAGGCTACGAGGGTTGCACCCACGCCTGGCATTCTATATGAAAGAGAATGTGCACCCAGGTCGCAGCCACTGGCTATTCCCGCCATGAGGTTGACTCACAGCCTTTAATCCTGGATGATATGCCGCTGGCTTGTGGCGTCAACCTACTCCCGTCATTGGGATCAATGGCAGCTGTCTTTGAGAAGAGAATCATAGATCTTTATGAAGAGCCGCTAACCACACTTGGGGAGATGCACCTTGTTCGAGCGCTAGCAATGCTTGAGTAATTAGTACTTTGTCTCTTCGTTGACGAAATTTAACTCTGCAAAGCAACCATAGACACAATACCAATCCACAACAAACTGCAGCCCCAAAGAGAACTACCCCTATCCATTCCTTAAAGTAGGAAAATGCTGAAGTTAGCCAAGAAGTAAAATCTCCCACAGTGATAGGATTGATGTGGGTTCCATTCAGTATGATAATCTCCATCAACAGACAATTCTGCAACCGCTCCGCTTGCTGAGACCAATTGCCTCTTAAAAAATTAGACAACAGGTTACCATCTTTAAAAGTAGAATTATCATACCTTAATGGGGTAATGCACATGTGTTTAGTATGACTAACACAACTTAGCTGTACAATATCTACAATCTCCTCCAGTTTGCTTTGAAGAAGGTCCACTCTCTGATTAACCAGAAGAATACCAGAAGTGAGATGAGCATTCATTTGATACTGTGTAACCAAAGCATCTGCAGCTCTTTCTACTAAAGCATCAACAGTTTGAGCTGCATTTACTTTATTGGCCATTGCTATGCCTGCAGTCACAGCAGCCGCTGCTGACACTGCTATAGCAGTCACAATTGCAGCTGTAATACCAAAATCTCTTTTTTGTCTAAATAAAGAGGCTATAGGAAAATCTTCTGGATTTGCTTCCACAGGAATTGGCACAAAAGTAGGTATACGTACTATTAAGGCCAAAGATAAAGAACCATTCCAACATTCAGCTAAGTAGCAGGTAGTATTACTTGCACTACAGTTCAGAAAACTTGTATTATTTTCAAACTCAGCCAATATAAAGAAAAATGGAGGTGAAACACATACAGGGGCAGCTGGGGCAGATGAACTCACCAGCTCGCCATTCACCTTAATCCCATCCAAATAAGGATAGCTATTATTAGAGCGGGTGGCTGAGATATTTTGTATCACATGATATAGACCTTGCATAGCGACAAATGCAGAAAGGCTAGTACTGGCTCCAGCTATATTTGTTAGTATCCATTGATAAAAGGGCCATATATTTCGCTTTCCTGTTCGAATACCAGTCTTGTTGATAGCAGCCCATTTTATAGGAGGTGAAAGGGCAAATCCTGAAGCAATCTCCATGTCAGGAGATTCTTTAGATTGACATGGCGTAAAAACTGGAGGAAAAGATAGATCAGGGGGACACCAAGGTAAAACTCTCTTGTATGTAGCATTATTGGTGGGCCATTGTGATGTCCAAGGTGCGGTAACATTACTCCGAAGCAACATGGTAGTTATATTTAATAAGGCCCTGTCATTATTAGAAATATTTCCCGAACTTTCCATCTTACCAGCTGACACCTGCTTTAGTGCCTCAACCAAGACTCCGGTACCAACCTTGCTAAATGCGACAGGATCCACCCAGTTTGTTAACGTGGTGTTCCTGAGCATGATACACGGAGTATGAGCTTTAGCCTTAGTAGTAAAGCAGAGAGTAAAATTCAATGGAAATGCAGTGGCATTGTATAAAACGGGCTCCTGTCCCATAGGCATAGCACATGGGACTTCCATAAAACATTGAGTAGAAGTAAACAATGGCAACACAGTAGAATTGGCATGAATGGGCATAGGTACGGGCCAAGATCTAACTATTGCCCATAACTGAATACTTAGCACTTCTTCATAAGTCATCATAACTAAAAGTGTCCACCACAGCTTCTTCATTCTTCTTAGAAAACATCCTTGGCTCCGAAACAACTCTGGTTAATCTTGCTGGCACCCAGACAGGATTTTCTTCCTTCTGTGGGAAAACACAAACAGCTCCCCTGGATCTGGTAAGCACTGGATCCGGGCCTCTCCATGAGTTTGTCAATACATCTTTCCATTTCACCGTTTCCCGTGTCTCTTCCACAGGATTACTAAGCCTGTCAGCAGCAGTCAGCCCCTTCTCATCCAGTTTTAAAAAATTAAGTGTAAATAGAGTTAGAGACAGGGCTGCTTTAGGAGCCAGTGGTGATTCCATAATTCCCCCTTTTTGTTTTTGCAGATACGTTTTCAAAGTTAAATTGGCTCTTTCAATGATGCCTTGACCCTGAGGATTGTATGGCAATCCAGTACGATGCTGCACTTGCATGCGCACACAAAATTGTACAAAAGTTTTAGCTGTATACGAAGGCCCATTATCTGTCTTTAGCAGGCGTGGTTTACCCCACGCTGCCCAAGCTTCTAAACAGTGGGCAATAACATGAGAAACCTTTTCTCCAGCCATAGGCGTAGCATGGATAATACCAGAGCAAGTATCTATAGATACATGAATATATTGTAATTTCCCAAAATGTTTAATATGTGTCACATCCATCTGCCAGACATCTAAAGGTCTAAGTCCTCTTGGGTTTACTCCAATGCATGGAGGGTGGCGAAATTCCACACATTTCTGACAGTTCAATGTAATATCTCGAGCCTCGGCTCTTGGGATACCAAATTTAAGTCTGAGAGTGGAGGCTGGAACATGAAACAGTTTATGAAATTCCTGAGCAGCTGTAAGATTCTTTTGCAAAACAGGGAACGCTTGGCAAGTAGCCGCATCAGCTAAAGCATTACCTAGCACCATGGGACCTGGTAGTAAGGTATGGGCTCTAATATGTTGAATAAAAAATTTTGAGTTCCTAGATAAAATACACTGTTGTATTTGTTTCAGAATGGGGGCCACAGGACTGGTTGATTTTATTGTGCCTGCGACCTCTAGAATACATATTGCATTCACCATTTAGTGGGAATCAGAAATGATATTTATAGGACCAGGGAAAGCCTTGAAGACTTCTAAAACCACTTGACACTCTACCAATTGTGGAGTGTCTGGAGCAAATTTAAACTTTACTGGGCTAGCAAAATCAGCCACATAACATCCAATGCCTGACTTTGATCCATCTGTATAGATATTTATAGCCTTTGGAATAGGGGCATTGGCAGTTACTTTAGGAAAAATTATAGGATGTTTTGACACAAACTGTAATAGCGGATGGTGTGGGTAGTGATTATCGATCTGACCTGGAAAAACACATTTCAGAATAGCCCACATATCTATCACTGTACAAAGCACTTGAACTTGTTGGGCTGTATATGGAACTACAGGCGTATCAGGGTATTGCCCAAAGTGTGTCAAAGAAGCCTGCAACCCTTTTAATGCCAATTCTGCTACAGCTGTAGGATAATGATCTAAGGTTTTATTTGGTGATGCATGAGGATGAATCCAGAGCAACGGTCCCTGCTGCCACAACACTGCTGTAGGCAATGTGACCGTGTCAAAAACACACAAGAAAATAGGTTCCTTAGGCTGAACCCTCACTAATTGAGCTTGCTGTATGGCTTCTTCTACTTTCTGCAGAGCTACTATGGCAGCAGAGGTTAGCTTTCTAGGTGAGGAAATATGACTGTCTCCTTCTAATATAGCAAATAAAGGCTTTAATTCAGCTGAAGGAATTTTGAGATAGGGACATATCCAATTAATATCTCCCAAAAGTTTTTGAAAATCGTTTAATGTTTTAAGGTGGTCCCTACGAATGGTAATTTTCTGTGGGAATACAAACTGAGGATGTATATTAGTTCCCAAGAATGCTCCTATATTGCCTTTCTGCACCTTTTCTGGTGCGATAAATAAACCTTTACTCTCAAATACTTTTATTAAATCTGCATAGGCAAGCCACAAGTCTTCCTCCTTAGATCCACAAAGCAA